AAACCTTCATCACCGATGCGAAGACGCCACCATCGTCGCGGGCGTGATCAGTATCGGCGCCGTCACTGGCCGTGCCGTCGTCGTCGTCAACATCGTCACCAGCATCGCTACTATCATCATCGCGTCTACCGTCGTCGACGTTGCCATAATACCGCGCCCGCCCAAGTCGCCGACTCGCACTGAAGTGCCCGTTGGGATGTACCCAGCGGTCAGCGCAACCGCGGCCGCGTCGGTCGCGCCAAACTAGCTGGCCGCTGCGCGCGCGAGCATGCGCGGGCTGGCGCGGCCGCAGAGATGCACCAGCCAGCGCCAAGCACCCATCGCAATCGCACGCCGCATTGGTTTTGTAAACCAAGTTGCGGGTGGGTGGGTGGGATGATTGCGCGAACAATGGAGTTGACAACTCACTGCGAACATAAATTAGTTCTCTTTTTAAAAAAGAGAATCAACTCTACCCCCCCCCGGCGTTATCCGTACGCCTTTCGGGTATGTAATCATATACGATTATGACCACATGTCCATCCTAAATATGAATTCGCACGATCCCCGAGGGGCCGGTATCGCTCCCCCTAAGGTTCCCTTGTAAAAAACAATACGCGGGGCCTTTCAACATAAAATTTGCTTCGCGAATCCCCTGCAAAAAAGGAAACGAAATGCACACGCGCGCGTCGTCGCGCGCATGCCGAAATCCTTCAAAACCCTTCGGTGCTGGAAGGATTTCGCAATCGAGCTTCCCCAAAAAATACAAAAACACAAGGTTTCGCAACACTGATTTGCTAAAAAAGCTCACGCGCGAGCTCTTGCGAAATCTCAAGAAAAACCATCGGTTTTTCATGAATTTCACAAAATGCACTCAAACGGGATTCGCGCGAACGCAAGTCGAAATCTGTCGAACGCCCTTGCGCGTGTGCCGTCGCGAGAATCCTGTGCAAAAAACGGGACGAAGTGCAGACGCGCGCGTCGTCGCGCGCGTATGCCGAAATCCTTCAAAACCCATCGTTTCCGGAAGGATTCCCATGTGTCCAAAAAACCTACAACAAAAACACAAGGTTTCGCAACACGGATTTTCAACAAAAGCGTGCGCGCGCGCTCTTGCGTCGTCGTCGTCGTCGTCGCCGTCCTCCCTCCTCCCGCGTCGTCGTCGTCGTCGTCGCCTACGTCGTCCTCAATCTTTCCTCGTGTTTGTCGTCGTCGTCCTCTTTGGCGTCGTGGTCGTTTCCGCCGTCGTTGTTGCCGTGGTCGTCCTTCGTCCTCCTCCCTCGTCGTCGTCGTCGTCCGTCGTCGGCGTCTGGTCGTCGTCCCTCCTATTTCGTCGGCGTCGTCGTCGTCGTCGTCATCTTCCCTCCTCCCTCGTCGTTGTCGTCGTCGGCGTCGCCGTCCTTCCTCCTTCTTCGTCGTTCGCGTCGTCGCCGTCCTCCCTCCTCCGTTGTCGTTGTCGTCGTTGTCGTCGTTGTCGCCGTCGTCGTCCTCCCTCCTCCCTCGTCGTCGTCTTCGTTGGCGACGTCGTCGTCGTCTTCGTCGTCGTCGGCGTTGGCGTCGTCGTCGTCTTCGTCCTCGTCGACGTCGGCGTCGTCGTCGCCGCCGTCGTCGTCGTCGTCGTCGTCGTCGGCGTCGTTGACGTCGTCGTCGTCGCCGTCGGTGTTGTCGTTGTCGTCGTCGTCGGCGTCGTCGGCGTCGTCGTCGGCGTCGTCGTCATCGTCGTTGTCATTGTCGTCGAAGTCGTGGGATTCGTCGTCGGTGTCGTCGTAGTCGGCGTCGGCGTCGTCGTAGTCGTCGTCGTCGTCGTTGACGCTGTCGTCGTCGGCGTTGGTGTCGCTGCCAAGTGGAATTTGGTACCTACCGTCACGGTCTTAAGAGGTCTTGCGACCAATTTGCGGGTGGGGGGGTGGGATGTTTGCACGAGCAGTGGGGAGGACAGCTTCAAGACAGGCAAAGTGATTTCTCCTTTCTAAAGAAAGAATAGACTCTACCCCCCCCCCGGCGTTATCACCCCCCCCCGCGTCCGATGTAAATCACATATGATTCGGACCACATGTCCATCCTAAGTATGAAGTCGCAATGTCCCAGGCCAACCCGGTTTCCCCCCCTGAGGTTCCCTCGATAAAAACGGAACGCGGGGACAGTTTTTGTTCTAACATAAGACTTTGTCACGAACGCCTTTCAAAAAAAGGACGAGCATGCCGAAACCCTTCAAAAACCTTCGGTGCCGGAAGGATTTCGCAATAGAGCTTCCAAAAAAAAACATACAAAACACAGGATTTCGCAACACTGATTTGCTAAAAAAGCTTCCGCGCGAGCTTCTGCGAAGTCTTAAGAAAACCATAGGTTTTTCAAGAATTTCGCAAAATGCACTCAAACGGGATTCGCGCGCGCGCATGTCGAAGTCTGTCGAACGCCCTTGCGCGTGTGCCGTCGCGAGAATCCTCTGCAATAAATACGACAAAATGCAGACGCGCGCGTCGTCGCGCGCGTATGCCGAAAGTCTTGAAAACCCATCGGTTTCGGAAGGATTTCAAAATCGTGTGTCCCAAAAACCTACAAAAACACAAGGTTTCGCAACACGGATTCTCAACAAAACCGTGCGCGCGCGCTCTTGCGTCGTCGTCGTCGTCGTCGCCGTCCTCCCTCCTCCCGCGTCGTCGTCGTCGTCGCCTACGTCGTCCTTTGTTTTTCCTTCTGTTCGTCGTTGTCGTCCTCTTTGGCGTCGTGGTCGTTTCCGTCGTCGTTGTCGCCGTGGCCGTCGTTCCTCCTCCTTCCTCGTCGTCGTCGTCGTCCGTCGTCGGCGTCTGGTCGTCGTCCCTCCTATTTCGTCGCCGTCGTCGTCGTCATCGTTGTCGTCGTCGTCGTCTTCCCTCCTCCCTCGTCGTTGTCGTCGTCGGCGTCGCCGTCCTTCCTCCTTCTTCGTCGTTCGCGTCGTCGCCGTCCTCCCTCCTCCGTTGTCGTTGTCGTCGTTGTCGTCGTTGTCGCCGTCGTCGTCCTGCCTCCTCCCTCGTCGTCGTCTTCGTTGGCGACGTCGTCGTCGTCTTCGTCGTCGTCGGCGTCGGCGTCGTCGTCTTCGTCGTCGTCGATGTCCGCGTCGTCGTCGTCGCCGCCGTCGTCGACGAAATCCAGCACCCAGCACTCATCGCAATCGCTCCACCATGGGTTTTGCAAATCAACTTGCGGGTGGGTGGGTGGGATGATTGCGCGAGCAGTGGAGTTGACAACTTCAAGTTCGGCAAGTGGGTTTCTTACACAACATAGATTGCACCACACAGATTGCAGCACCTACATTGGCTGTTCCACCTATATTGCACCACATATATGTTCCTGGCTTTCAAAAAAAAAATGAATCATACCCCCCTCGGAGTTATCAGCACACTGTTTCGCATTGCCATTTACATGAAATCCCGCCCCATCGCCCATCCAAAACATGAACTCATACCATCCCAGCCCAACCGGTATCGACCCCAAACCATCCTCTGCAAAAACTTGTTTGCGCGCACACTCGTTCATCACAAACCATCAGTTTCAAAGAATCCCTAGCAAGGGAAAAAAGCAACGAAGTGCACACACGTGCGTCGTCACGCGCGCATGCCGGAATCCTTCAACAACCTTGGGTTTCGTAGGCATTTCAAAATCGAGTATTTTAAAAAATGTGTAAGAACGAGAACACATGTGGGTTCGCAACGCGGATTTCCAAAAGAAGCTTGCGCGTGCGCTCTCGTGAACCCTTTGGTTGTTCCATTTCTTTGTAAATATACACACACATAGATAGACCTGTCTTTACATATACATATATATATATACATACACATATACACATAATATCAATCCACATACAAAAAAAAACAGTTACACACAATGCTACAAAACGGGCTTCGCGCGTGCGCGTGTCGAAACCGTTCGAGCACCCTTGCGCCGTGCTGTCGCGAGAACCCTTTGCAAGCAGTAGAACGAAGTGCACGCGCGCGCGTCGTCGCGCGCGCATGCCGAAATTCATCAAAAATCTGGGTCCCGTGAGAATTTCACAACGGAGTAGCCCGAAACTTTTTTGAAAATCGAATTTCGTAACACGAACTTCCAGCAAAAAACTGCGCTCGCATTCACGCGAACTCGTAAGCAAACCGTAAACTGTTCAACAGGTCCATGGAATTCTGCCAAACGGGCAACTCGCGCCGCAAGCCGAAATCATTCGCACGCCTTTTGCGCGCGTGCTGGGGGGCACGATCCGTGTCAAATAACATCACGCGGCCACTCTCGCGCGTCGACCGCGCGCGCACGTCGAACTCTTTCCAAAACCTTCATCATCGACGCAGGGACGCCGCCATCGTCGTCGGCGTGATCACCATCGGCGCCGTCACTGGCCGTGCCGCCATCGCTGTCAACATCGTCACCAACATCGCTACTATTATCGCCGTGTCGACCGTTGTCGACGTTGCCATGATACCGCGCCCGCCCAAGCCGCCGACTCGCACTGAAATGCCCACTGGGCAGTGCCCAGCGGTCAGCGCCACCGCGGCCGCGTCGGTCGCGCCAAAATAACTGGCCGCTGCGCGCGCAAGTGCATGCAGGGGATGGCGCGGCCGCAGAGGTGCACCACCCAACACCAACCACTCATGGCAATCGCCACCGCTCGAGTTTTGCGAGACAAGTTGAGGGTGGGTTGGTGGGATGACTGCGCGAGCAATGGAGTTAACAACTGCGACTTCCACAAGTGAATTGCACCACAGAGCTCGCTGCACATACTTTGCACAGCATGGATTGCTAGAAACACACTGTTTGGGGTCCACGCTGGCTAACATATTATTTTCAGGGTCCACGACCACGACCACGACCACGACGACGACGACGACGACCACCACGATCTTGACGACGACGGCAACGACCACCACCACCACCACCACGACCACCGCCAAAACGGCGACGACGACCACCACCACCACGGCGACGACGACGGCGGCGACGGCGGCGGCTGCGGGCGCGCCGTCTGATGGCCCCGCCCTGCCGGCCCGGCCCGCCTCGAGACCCCGGAGTCGCTCGAGCTCTGCCAGGTCCTCGGGGCTGACCTTGGGCTCCTTCTGGGGCGAGGCGCCGCCGGAAGGAGGGGGTGCCTCCAGCAACGCCCCTTCGGGCGCCTTCGGACGCAGACCTCCGACAATGAATTTTGCCGATCCCAACAAAGCTGTTTCTCAACATCGGCCTCGGAGGCCCGGTCTCGGGCCCTACAAGCCTCGTCAAAAATCAATTGAAACGCCGTTCCAAATCGAAGCGCCCGATAGTTCGGGCACTTGTCAGAAAACGTGCTCGTCAATGCTGCGAGGGCACTGCCGAATGTCGGACACCCCTGCGTGTGGGCCAGACGCCTCATGCCAGCATTGAAGTAGCGCTGACCGCGCGAGCGCCGAAAACAAAAACCGTCAATTCATTGTTGAAGAATCTTGTAGGACCTTGGACTATCAAAAATGGATCAGGGGCGGAAAACTAGCCCGAGGGAAGCGGGCGGGACCCCTGGGGCCGCGAGTTGACAAATCAGATCGGCGGACGTCAATCAAGGTGTTCAGAAGCGTTCGGCTGATTTTGAAGCCTTCCAGCGCTTCCCCGACTTGCGGAGGCTTTCGGGCGTTGTCGGAGGAAGTTCCCCAGAAGGCCCCCCCAGAGACGACCGGGCCCCGAAGGCAAGGTGGCGGCATGATCCGCAGGCCAGAGTAGATAGCACATCTTGAATGCAATACGACATGGGAACCTCAAAGTTGTTAAGCCTCTGGCAGGAAAGCAACGTTTCTCCCTCTCTCTCTTTCTCTCTCTCTCTCTCTCTCTCTCTCTCTCTCTAGCTCTCTCTCTCTCTATATATATGTGTCTCTCTTTCTCTCCCTCTCTCTCTCGCTCTCTGAACCTTCGGCTTGCCCCAGAGGTTGTCCTGAGTATGAGTCTGTAGTTACGCATCGAAAATGTCTTCTTCGCCGACCCCCAAAGTTATTCATCATCCCGCAATACATCTGATGGAGCCAGGCCCTTGATCAGAGCTGAACATATTATCCACTACGACTTGAGGATGCAGGGGTGGGACTGGAAATCGAGCCCGCGGAAACGATCTTGAATCCAGCATTCGGCACTCTAGGTCCAGAAAGAGAAGGCTTTCTCTGGAACCCTGAATTCACTTCTGCACAAAGAATCCTGACTGGGCGGGACTTGCTCATGTACAACCGTGGCTACCTCGAGCCATACTGGCTGCTCAACTACATGTCGGTTGATCGGCGTATGAGTATAGATGGTCGCTTGCCTCAGTCATGATGCCACTGAGAAGAGACCACACGCATGAGTAAGGCACAAGTGCAAAACATGTGTACGGCCCAGCACCAGATGTGAAACAACAACTACAATAACCTGGCATTCAATTGGCGATTCTCGCTGGGAGTGGCCAGTGGGTTCCTTCTCTCGATCCGCCATGGCTCCGCGGGCAAGCCTGTCCTTCGCCCCCGAAGCACCACGTTCTACAGCCGCGTCGAACTGCGTAGAACTCCCCTGGAGCAGCACCACCACCCGCCGACAGCCCACGCCGTCCAAACACCACCACGCCGTGAAACCAGAGCTCTCTGCCCAAACCACGCGCCTGGTCCCTTGAGCCAGATCGACCCGCCAAGGCCCCAGAGCCCCCAAAAAGGGCAGAAACGTGCGCTGCCATTGCTTCGCTGCGATGTCGGGGCCCCCATCGCAGCGAAGATCCGCTCAAAAGCGGCCCCTGGACCCCTCCCAGGCGAGCCGCGCCAACCCGTGGCGACGAGGGGGGCTCTCGAAGGCCCATGGCTTCCGAAACGCCATCGGATCTGCTGTTGGTTGCGGAAGGGGGGGAAGGACAGGAAACACGCGAAGCACCAGCCAACGTCCACAGCACGAGGACTCCCAAGTCGGGCTGTGGGCTGCCGAATGCACGCAACCGCGCGTAGCCCGCCGGGCCCAAGACGGAAACCCTGCAGGAGGACGAGGAGGAGGAGGAGGAGGAGGAGGAGGAGGAGGAGGAGGAGGGGGCGAAGCAGGAGGAGGAGGACGAGGAGGAGGAGGACGAGGAGGAGGAGGACGAGGAGGAGGCTCGCCCATCGAGATCGAAGAGCACGCGAACGACATCGAAAGACTGCCCCCAAACACCCTGCCCCTGGTGCCCCGTCCTCCTCCAGCACGCCGGACGGCTCTTTGCTCCTGGCCCCCGCCGAGGCCCAGGCGGCGGGCGGGGCGGGAAGAGGGGGCCGGAACCTCCAAAGCATGGTCCCCCATACCGCCAAAAAAAGTGTGAACATGTGTATTTATATAGGTAATACCGCGAACAACGAAGTGTGTAAAAAGGCAAATGTGCAAATACGATTAAGCCGACACTGGGTCATTTGTACACTAAGCATGTACTCTCAGTGTGTAATGCAAAGCATGCAAAGCAGTGGAATTAGGCCATTTGTAGGTGTTGAACGATGATTGCTCTATGCGTGAGTAAGTACGTGTATGTATATATACACGTACGTATATATATATATATATATGTGTGTGTGCGTACACATACATACACACACACAGATACACCTACGCACAGACCTATGTACATACGCCGTTAGATATTTACGAAGAAACAGATACACATACCTAATCCGACTTTCATGATCGAAAGGGGTGCTGATTTGGGGAGTCTTGTTTGGGCTGTCTTGGAGGAGTCTGCGGATCTGGGCAGAAGGCCGCCCTTGCATGGCTTGTCTGGGGGGGTCTACAACTGCTCGTCTGGAAAGTTTGTGATTCCCCCCCTTGACTATGACCGTCAGAGTATACACACACACTCGCACACACACACACACACACATACATACATATATATATATGTATATACATTTACACGTTTCTTTTGCGGTCGTGGCATCGCGCGCGGTGACAAGGCGGAGCAAGCCGAGCAAGCAGCGCGGAACTAACGCGCACGGTTGGGCCCTCAGGCGCGGGACCGCTTGGGTCAACCGCTAAAAAGCCACCCGGGCGTGAGTGGCGAGCGAGAAAATTGAGACAGCGTCCAAAGACAAAGACAGCAATTCGACCGACCAACTGGCAGCGGCAAGACCGCGGGAAAGAGCGCACGATCATCATCATCATCAACAACATCGCCATCATCATCGTCATCATCATTATCACCATCATTACCAACCTCATCAGCAGCATCATCTCCACCATCATCATCATCATCATCATCATCATCATCATCATCATCAGCATCAGCATCAGCATCAGCATCATCATCATCATTTGCATCATCATCAGCATCATCATTATCATTATCCACACCCGCCTTTTCCTGCGCTCACCCTGCCTTCTGGCCGCCTGGGTCCGCAGTGCTAGGGTGCGGCGTCGAGGTCGCCGCCTCGGCGCCCTCGCTGCCTCCTCTCTCCTCGGCCATCGGCCTCCTCCTCCTCCTGCTCCTCCTCCATTCCTTTTCCTCATAAATAACTTCTCCCTGTCGCACCCCGAGGCCAGTTTTCAGGGCGGACCAGGCGTTTCGCCTGAGACTTCCTCACCACTTACGACCCTGAAGCTTAAAGATTGGCAACAGCTTCACAGACGGAGGGCGGTTGGTTTTCAAAATGTGGCTCTCGCCTTAGCGCCGCGCACATTCGTTCTAAGAAATTGCAAGAGCTCCACGGATGGAGGATAACCCGTTTTAATAATGTGGTTCTCGCCGTAGCGCCGCGCACATTCATTTTCAACATTTGCAAACGCTTCACGGATTGAGGATAAACCGTTTTCAAAATGTGGCTCGCCCCTTAGCGCCGCGCACATTCGCTCGAAAAAACTACAAGAGCTTCACGGCTTGAGGGCGGTTCCTTTTCAAGACGTGGCTCCCGCCTTAGCGCCGCGCACATTCGTCCCTAAACTTTGCCAGAGTTTCACTGTTTCCCACGATCAAAATACCAGAAATGGTGTTTTGGACGGATTCTAGATTTTGCGGGTGCAACAGTCACGTTGGTTCGCAGTGTTGACATCCCAAGAATTGCGTTCTGGTACGGTCCAAGATCGTCAAGACGCAACAGTCAGGTTGATCCGTGGCGGTGGAATCTCGAAGACAATGTTTTTGGCATGCTTCCAGGTCTTCAAACCGTTGTCTTCCAACGAGGCAGATCCCTCAATGGAAATGAACCGTTGTAGGGGCCTATGAAGAGGGAGCTTGGAGGGAGGGTGTATTCCAACATCGTTGATGGCTCTTGGGTTTGCACTGGTCCTCCTCCTCCTCCTGCTCCTCCTCCACCTCCTCCTCCTCGTCCTCCTGCTTCTCCTCCTCCTCCTCCTCGTCCTCCTCCTGCTCCGCCTCCTCCTCCTCTTCCTCCTCCTCCTCCTCCTCCGCCTCCTCAATGGTATCCGCCCTCAGGCCGGCCGCCTCCGCCAAGGGGCCTCACCAGCATACTGCCAGAGAATTGGAGCCCGCCAAGGCGCCACACCGGCGAGGGTCCCGAGAGGCCGACAACGGCAAAACACCTGCCTCCGTGATTGTTGCCCCCCACCTCCCCAGACACGCGAAGCCTTGGCTTTCACATCGCTAGCAGTTCGAGCTCGGCTGCCGGAGGCTCGTCGTCGTCGTCGTCGGCGGCGTCGGCGTCGGCGTCGGCGTCGTCGTCGTCGGCGTCGTCGTCGTTGGTTTCGGGGGCAGGAACATCTCCAGGGCTGGTCTGTGCTGGCCTCTTGGCCTCCACGCCTCGCGGCCTCCTGGCCTCGCTTGGGCCTTTGGGCCTCGCCGTGCGCTCTCGTCTCAGGGCGCGCCCTTTGCGGTTGTGCTGGGTCGGCGCTCCTGCCAGACTGGGCTGACCCTTGGAGAATTCCAGTCCAATAGCCGCGCAAATAGCCGCGGCGGGGATGCGGCCAGGAGCTGTTCTCGGGGGGGGCCCGCGCCGTGCCGTGGGAGCGAGCCACGGCGTCGGGGGGGGCCAGCGAAAACGGGTGCAGGGCCGGGCGGGGCACCCTGCCGAGAAGGCCACCCTCTCCAAACATGTGCGGTGGGGCATCGATCATGCGAGGCCGGTCTTCCGCTCGCCCAACGGTGGCGCGGGAGCGCCAGCCCATCACCGTGGTGGGGCGTGCCCGCAGAGGTCTTCCTAGACGTGGTTCCTGAGAGTCCTGACCCCTTTCCTTCGGGCAAGTCTCGCATCCCGAGCCGCTCTGTGACTGCCCTGGAGCCCAGCGAAGGTCCCCAGGGGCACGGCGCGAGCATGTCCCCGCCGCTGCCCCGCGCGCGGTCCTTCCAGCCGTCCTGAGGGCGGCCTGCGTGGACGCGAGCTGCCCCTTCAGCTGCGCCACCTCGGCCTGCGGGTCGGTTGGGGGCCGGCCAGGTCCAGGGGCGAAAACTCCAGGGTCGAGGCAACAGAGCAGCGGGATCGACTGGAACTGTTGGACGCGCTGCTCCGAGGGGGGCCAATCATGGGCGCGGAGGCATGAACGCCAACCGAAAATACATCGCAGAAGCAAACCACTCACAGGAGGTCGTTGTGGAGCTGAGCTGAGCCACCGTCCTCGGCCACCTGCAAGGGGCATCTAGCTCCGCAGGCCGTGGTCCATCGCGAAGCGGCGCAGGGGGTTCATCCCCCTTCATCCGAGAACACGGGGAGGAGGGGGAGGAGGGGGAAAGGGAGAGTCTGGTGCAACCTGTGGCTCAACCTCTAGTGCAACAGATGGTCGCTGCAGTTCAGTGCATCTTGGTGGGGTGGACTTTGCATCGTAGTGCAGACTTCCGGGTTCATTGCGGGAGGATAACTTGTAGTCAAGATCCTGTCTCGGGATGCAGAGCATCGGGCAGACGACACTGCGGAAGAAACGGGCCAACGAGTCAAGGATGCAAGGATATCCTTGTTGAAGAACTCCAATCGCAAGCACTGTTTTAACTAGGGGACCACGGTGGGCGGAGGGCCACAAGGTGCGGCCAAAGGTGCGGGAACGACAGCTTTTTAGAAAGGGGCCGCGGGTGGTAAGCGAAGGGCTGGGAGCCAGGACCAAAGATGGCGACAAGTGTAGGAGTACTAAGAGGACTGTTGCATTACGAGGCTGACAAAGTGCATCCGCCACCGTGCCCCCTGTCACGTTGAGGCGTGACAGACTGCTGAGTGCCAAGTGCTGGCAGGGTTTCTGCCAAGGCCTCTGGTCACACAGCGTTGTGTGCACCGCCCCATTTTCCCCCCCCCCCCGAGGCTCCCAAGGCCGCCCTGACGCCTCTCTGAGGCCTGCGAAGCCGGTCCGCGGCTTCCAAGACGGCCCAGGAAGCCAACCGAGGCTGCCAAAAAAATGGTTCAACATTGCCTCCAGAGACAACCAGAGAGACACCACAGGGTCCCCAAGAGGCCTCGAAGAAATCAAAGAAGAGGCCAGGAGGCTTTGCAGGAAGAGAGACACCACTCACAAGCCTGAGGACCTTCGTCTGTTTGTTGGCGAAGTGTTATGGGTCTTGCGGCTCAAGGTGCTTCCAAGAGGGCGTCGGAGGAGCCAAATGGGGAACAGAAGAGCCCAATGAGGCCCTCCAGACATCACCTACAATGCGACTCAGGACAGCTCCAAGAGGGCTCCGAATTGGCCCACAAGGGACCCTGGACATCCTAAGAGAACCCCAAGACGCTCCCAAAAGCAGGCTCAAGAGACCCCCCAGGCGGCCGAACGCGGCCCAAGACGGCCCCAAGAGAGCCCAAGAGTGCCCCACCACGCGAGCCCAATACAGCCCCAAAACGGCCCAGCTCCCCATGAGAGCCCTGAAGGAAAAGAAACGGGAGGTGCCACATGTTGGTGACGATGCTGATGATGAACATGCTAGTTGGTGGCGATGGTTAAAATCAGAATGATACAGTGGTGGTGCGGATGACGACTGTGGTGGTGATGGTGATGGTGATGGAAATGTTATTGATGGTGACGGTGACGATGACGATGACAATGACGATGACGACGATGATGATGATGGTGGTTATGGTTATGATGCTGATGATGATGATTATGATTATGATTATGATGATGATGCTGATGATGATGATAATGCTGATGCTGATGCTGGTGCTGATGATGATGATGATGATGAATATGATTATGATGATGATGCTGCTGCTGATGATGACGATGATGATGATAATGATGATAATAATAATAATAATAATGATAATAATAATGATAATAAATAATAATAATAATCCATAATAATAATAATGATGATGATGATGATGATGATGATGATGATGATGATGGCGACGGTGATGGCGATGACGACGATGGTGACGACGGTGGTGGTGATGATGCTGGTGATGATACCAATGATGGTGGTAATGATGTTGAAGAAAACGAAGAAGAAGAAGAAGAAGAAGAAGAAAGTGATGATGACCAGGCTCTGCTTGAAGTGGGGTCGGGGAGCGGCGCTCTCAATCCGCCTGCACCCTTCACGCACACCCCGTGGGACCCACAGACCCCCGGGGACAGGGGAGGCCCTCGGGCGTCCCCCCAAGGCCAGCGACGAGGGAGGCCCTAAGACGCCGAACGGGCGATCGGTCGCTACGGCCCCTGCCGTCGGAAACCAGCAGGACCCGCGGCGGCCGACCTCTCCTCTACGCCAGCCGAAAGGCCAGGCGTAGCGCTGGAACACCCAAATCCCACGGACGAGCCGCCGACGGCCCCCACAGGGCCGTCGGCCGAGCTTTCCGGGCCGCGTCCAACAGGCCTGCCAGCCAGCACACCAGCCTCGAAGGAACAGGGCACGTGCACCACGCTCACTGCTGCTGGCAATCCACGTGGCCTGGCAGCAGCCCCGAAGCGGCGGCCTCGGGCGACCCCGCGCTCACGCCCACCTCTGGGGGGCCTGCACGGCTGGCTTCCCCCGACTGCGGACTCGGCGCGTTGTCCAGGAGGCCTCGCATCATCTCGCTCATAATGCTGGTCGCGGGTCCCGCCGCCCCAACCAGACTGGACGCAGGGTCCTGGCACAACGCCAGCACAGGCCGTTTGTCTGCTCGCACCCTCGGGGCCTGGCACCGCGCGGTCCTCGCCTCCACGGGCGGGCCATCCGGCAGCTGCCGCCAAGGGGGTGGCCTAAGGATCCGAAAGTCACACCCTGCCGCCGCCGCGGCGGGCGGCGGGTCAGCCGCGGCGGTCGGCGGGTGGATCGCGCTGGGCGGCGGGTCGGCCGCGGCGGTCGGCGGGTCAGCGGCTGGCCGACGCGCAACCGCCTGCTGAGCAATTGCGAGCCGCGCCGTCTTGGCCGCCCTGCTCGGCCGCTGGCGCAGCGGCCGCGGCGGGGTGGACCTGCCGCCTTCGCGCCGACGCGCGCGGCCCCCGACGCACACGGCGGCGGCGATCACGGCCAGGGGATGGCCCAGGCTTCCCGCCCAGGCGGCAGGCCGCGCTCCAGGAGGGCCTCGGGCGGGTCCTCCATGGCCTCGGCTTCCTTGGCAGCCAGGGCCAACTCCAAGCGCAGAGAGGCCTCGAAGGCCACGTCCCAAAACGGCGGCCAAAGGTCGACGTGGAAGACGGAGCCCTCCAGCGCGCCCAGCTCCCGCCCGTCGAGGGCGTCCCGCGCGGCCGCTGCCATGCGCGGCTCCGCAAGCTGCACGATGGCGTCGGTGCTGTTGGGGCCCGCAGTCACCGAGCGGACGTCCCCGAACCTTCCGAAGACCTTCGCCATGTCGGCCTCGGTGAGCTCGCACGCGAACTCGGGGCCCTCGACGCGGACGGTGAGAGAGGCAGGGGGGGCCCTCGTCCAGCAGCTCGCACGCCAAGGCCATTGCGACCCCGCTGCCGAGAGTAAGGATGAGCTTGAGGCCCAGGCGCCGCGACCAGGATGGTCGGCGCCTCGGCCACAGCAGGCGGCACCCGGGCATGACGAGTACATCCCGCAGGTCCATGAGCAGTTGCCTGCGCACGGACGCCGACGAGTCCCAGGGGGAGGCCCACGAGCTCCATGCCGCCGAGCACCAGGCCCAGGATGACCTCCAGCTCCTTGATGGGCAACACCACGGTGCCAACCTCCAGGATGCAGGACGGCTCCACGCAGAGCTCCACGGCCAAGCCCACGATGCCGTCGAGCTCGGCCGCGACGGCAGTGGCCTAAGGGCCCCAGGCGGAGGCCCACGGGCTCCATGCCGTCGAGCACCAGGTCCACGATGGCCGCCAGCTCCATGATGGGCGGTGCCGCGACGCCGCACTCCAGCAAGCGGGAGGACTCCACACAGAGCTCCGCGCCATGCCCACGCAGAGCTCCGCGGCCATGCCCACGCCGCGACAGGGTCGACGCAAGTTGGGTCCCCGAACTCCAGCGCCATGGCGGGCTGCAGCGCCAGACCCACGATGACCGCCAGCGCCATGACTGGCGGCACCACGATGCGGAAGTCCAGCCCCGTGCCGTGCCCCACAGTGCGATGACCAGCACGAGCTCCGCGATGAGCCCCGTAGCCGTGGTCACCAGCGCCACCTCTGTTCCAGCACCGGTGGCTGCGCCCGCCGCCCGTGGGCCGCCGCTGGCCTCGTCCCCCTCCAGCACGGGGGTGCCCGCCGCGAGGGACAGCTCCGCGGTGGTGTCCACGGGGGGCGGCGCCTCGGCGGCCTCCGCGACCGTGGGGCTCCAGGGCGGCCTGCACGCTGCGATCCTTGCCCCGCAGGTCCTCCTCGAAGATCTCCACCACCGTCGCGAGCTCCGCGCTCGTGAGGCCGTGCAGGATGTCCGCCGCCTCGCCGCGGGCCGACTCCTTCGGGTCGCGCGGCCACGCCGTCCCGAAGCTGGCTGCCGAGTCCTGCAGGCCACGCCCAGCGCGGTGGCTTCGAACGCCCTGGCCCCGCTGCTGAGCGGCATACGGGCCACCACGATTCGCCTGGCATGACCCCGCTGCTTAACGGCGTCCGGGCCACCACCACCACCACAACCACCATCATCAGTATCATCCACCACCACCACCACCACCACCATCATCATCATCATCATCATCACCACCACCACCACCACCACCACCACCACCACCACCACCATCATCATCATCATCATCATCATCATCATCATCATCATCATCATCATCATCATCATCATCGTCATCAGCATCGTCATCATCATAAGCAGCAGCAGCAGTAGCATCATCAGCATAGTCAACAGCATCATCAGCACCACCATCATCATCAGCATCATCATCATCAACATCATCATCATCATCGTCATCATCATCATCATCAGCATCATCATCAGCATCATCATCAGCATCATCATCCTCATCATCAGCATCCTCATCAGCAGCAGCATCATCCTCGTCATCATTAGCAGCAGCACTGTCAGCATCATCATCATCATCGTCAACATCGTCAGCATCATCATCAGCATCATCATCAGCATCAGCAGCATCATGATCATGACCATCATCATCAACAACATAATCATCATAATCATCAGCATCATCCTTATAATCGTCAGCATCATCATGACGATCATCATCATCATCAGCAGCAGCATAAGCATCATCATCATCATCGTCATACTCCTCATCACCATCATCATCGTCATCAGCATCGTCAGCATCAGCATCGACATCGTCATAAATTCATCATCAGCAGCATCATCAGCATCATCAACATCATCAACACCATCATCCTCATCATCATCATCATCATCATCATCATCATCATCATCATCATCCACAGCATCATCAGCATCCTCATCATCATCATCATCATCATCACCACCAACAGCATCATCAACATCATCAACACCATCCTCATCATCATCATCGTCATCGTCATCGTCATCGTCATCATCATCATCATCCTCAGCATCATCATCACATTATCATCATCGTCAGTATCGTCATCATCGTCATCATCAGCATCATCATGGGCCACATCATCATTATCATCATCATCAGCATCATCATCATCATCATCATCATCGTCAGATACATCATGATCATCGTCATCGTCATCGTCATCATCATCATCATCATCATCATCATTCGTCATCGTCATTATCATCGTTATCATCATCCTCATACTCAGAATCGTCAGCAACACCATCGGCAGCATCAACTTCACCATCATCAGCGTCATCAGCAGCAGCAGCCGCATCAGCATCATCATCACCGTCAGCAGATACAGCATCATCAGCAGCATCATCATCAGCATCATCATCATCATCATCGCCATCATCCTCCTCACCATCATCATCTTCATCAGCAGAAGCATCACCAGCATCATCAGCAGCATCATCATGCTCAGCATCGTCGTCATCATCAGCATCGCCTTCGGTGTTCGATGCGTCGCCACACAGAGTGCTGCGCTGGCACGGCGGCGGGACCTGCCGCAGGCGCCTGGATGACCCGGCGAGGCGTGCGCGAGCGGAGACCAGGCTGGAGAGCAGGTCGCGACTCGCGGAACATCGGGGAGAAGGGCAGACTACCAGAAGGCCCCCAAGAGGCCCCCTGGACCCCCTCAAGAAGCCACCGAGGTGCCCCCAGAAGGCCCCAGGAGGCTCCAGAAATGCCCTCGCGAGCACTGCGGCAACTGCCAACGATCTTACAAACATTGGCCAGCGGAATGGGCGAAGCGATCCGTCGTCCCACGCGGCATTCAACGAAGGCGCCGAGAGAGAGAACGCCGAGACAGGCGCGGTGGCGAGGGCACAGCAGCGCACGAGGCAGACAGGGCGCGGAAAGAGGACCCCTGACGTTGAGGGGCAAGGATGGGGAGGGACTGGCCAAAGGGAGGGGGGATGTGCATCGCCCTGGAATCGGCGATACATCGCCGATAGATCGGCGATAGGCCTCCGATGGTGAATCCGCACCTTCCCGGGCAGGTTGGGGCTCTCGGGCCCCTGTTGGCGATCAATGGGCGATTTGGATGCATCCCCCCTGTGCGTATCCACCCCCATCGTTGCCCCTGAGACGTTCTGACGCCATGGCTTCTCACGACACATGCCCCCGGACCCCTCGACCCCACCCCCAGGACCAATGTTTCCTCCCGGGCTGTTGCCTGCGCCCCCGGGCCCGCAGCGGGTCCAACCAGTGGCTTGGACTCCAGAAGTGACCGGCCGCGGCGCCGCCGCGGCGGTGTGTTTCCCGCGACGCCACAGCCCTGGAGGATCCCGTCGAAACACCTGCCCAACGGGACCTGTCCTCGGCCCGAAGTTCGAGATGGATCCGGCCGTTGCAACGAGGGCGCTCCGAGAGGCCTGTGAAGGCCCCGAGACGTCCGATGAGAGCCTCGACCCTCGGAACCTCCGCCGTCCTCGATCCTCGGCCCAGGGGCGGCACACAAGCGGCGCGACGAGGGGCCCACCAGCAGCTTGCCGTTCTTCTGCCGGAGGTCCTCGAGCTCCTCCCCTCCCGGGCGCCGAACGCCCCTGCAGGTTTTCCGCGGCGCCCCCCTCGCCGAGGCACCCTTGGCAAGGCCGAAGAGGCGGGAGCCGGCCGAGCAGAGGCAGGAGCCGCCCCCCCGACCCCCGACGTCGTGATTCTTGTTCCTGGCGTCGACCCCCCGAGATCTGGACCCCTTCCTCGGGGGCGGCGAGGGGGGCGTCCAAGAGGGGGGGGGCGCAAATCATGGCCGGCGGCGTGTGCGCGGCCCAGGGGGGGGGGTCCAGGGAGGTAATGACATGAGAAGAGGCGCCATGAAATCTGAGGAATGTCATGGTCCCCGCCATGATGTCCACCCCCTCCCCAGTCATCACCCCCCTCTTTGCATCCCCCGACACCCCCGGGACCGGTTTTTCCTACTGATTCGTTTGTGGACGGTCCCGGGGCCCGGTGAGGGCCCCTGGAGGCCGAAGGCAGCGAAGAACCGGTCTCACGAGTGGCGCGCGGGCTGCTCGAGAGGCCGCTGCGTGCGCGAAAAAAGCGGCCCCCCGGTCTTCGGAGCCCGCCCGAGGTCGAGAGGCCTGTGGTGCCTCCCGCGCACGTTCAGGGTCGGGGGCGCAGCAGCAGCAGCAGCAGCAGCAGCAGGCACCGCTTTCAAGCAAAACCACTGTAGACACAGATGGGACGCACAGAGACACACTAGTGCTGCAGGTCCTCCTTGGAGGCGCGCGTCCGACCCGAACATATAGCACAACGGTCTTGAAGTATATAGCGTTTCCCGAGCGGTGTGGCCAGAAAGCGCCCGCCACGCCACATATACTATAAGATTTCTCGGTGCGCGCGCCCCTGGAGAGGGGCGACGCACACGTAATGTTAGAATGTTGGGGTGACGCCGAACCAGAGGCACGGGAGGAGGCGGAGGCCCCGCACAGAAGCCCCTCCCGGTGGGGATCGAGCTCGTTTGGCGGATTCCGGAAAAACCCTGAACCAAAGACGATGTTATCCCTTGGGGGGCGCATCTTTTACTTCCGTCGCCTTCCGCCGCCCTTCCGCCGGCTTCCGCCGGCGGAGGCGGCCTTGTTTTACTTCCGCCGACCGTCCGCCGCCCTTCCGCCGCCTTCCGCCGCCTTCCGCCGACGAAGAGAGGGCAACTCCTTCGATGCTCGAAGGCAAGGCCATTTTTGGAGCGCCTCGTTTGCTTTGCCGCACGTCGATTTTCGACGCCGTCGGGGACGGGTCGTGGGCCATGCCGGAGTACGCCAGACGGAGGTCAAGCATCCCACCAAGAGCGCCGAACCATCTTTGGTGGCTGCAGGCAGGAGGAGGAAACAGGAGGAGGAGCTCTTGGGCCCGTCCCCGTGTGATGGGGGAGCAGCACAGCACTGCACGAGCATGCTTCCTCCGAGCTCCGCGCGGACTTCCTGGGGTCGGGGCGCGCCAGGGGCCAGCGCCAGAGGCCAGCGCCAGAGGGCCCCAGCGCCGATCCAAGAGATCTGCGCGGAGCTCCGAGAAATGACACGCTCGTGCCACTCTGCGCGTCTTCGCTGTGACGATCGAGCTCTTGGGCGCACGTCCTGGGCAGCCGCCTGCGATCCCTGCCCCTGCAAGCCAGACTTCTGAAACACCGGCACCGGCGGGGGCTCCGAGAATGAAGGATATCTGCGGCCGGGTGAGCCCCAGCTGGGGGTGCCCGCAGGGGAACGGCAGGTTCGTGTCGTGCCGACTTCGACGTTACTTCCCGACACCGCGGGGATCGCTCAGCCTTGAACGATCGGCCGTTTCCGAAACGTCCGATCGTTCAACATCGACCGGTTCTGGGTCGCCAGCGGTGTTCAACGTGGAACGCCGGCGACGGGGTCGCAGCCAGTCGAGACGACGCGCAACTGCCGTAGGGACCACAAGTGGTCGCACACGTTCGCCCGTCTGGAGCCACAGCGCTGCGACAATCACTCTCACGAACCTGCAACCATTCCTTTCCCTGCTCGACCTTGGATGGGCCTGTGCCGGCCTGTGCCCAGCAGCACCTGGCACGAACGCCTGTGACGTTCGCCCCTCTTCGGATCTCTGGAGGCCCCCAGAGCCGTCGGGAGTGCACGGTTTCCCCCGGGGCCGTAGGCGACCCGAGGAGGAGGAGGAGGAGGAGGAGG